ACTCTGTGACCATTCTTGACTGGCCCAGCCAGAGCCCTGACCTAAACCCAATTGAGCATCTCTGGAGAGACCTGAAAATGGCTGTCCACCAACATTCATCATCCAGCCTGATGGAACTGGTGAGGATCTGCAAGGAAGAATGGCAGAGGATCCCCAAATCCAGGTGTGAAAAACTTGTTGCATCATTCCCAAGAAGACTCATGGCTGTACTAGCTCAAAAGGGTGCTTCTTCTCAATACTGAGCAAAGGGTCTGAATACTTATGACCATGTGATATTTCAGTTTTTCGTTTTGCAAAAATTTCTACATTTCTGTTTTTTTCTGTAAAGATGGGGTGCTGAGTGTACATTAATGAGAAATAAAATTAACTTAATTTTTTGATTTTAGCAAATGGCTGCAATGAAACAAAGAGTGACAACTTTAAAGGGGTCTGAATAATTTCCGTACCACCCACTGTATATTTATTTTATGTGCACTTTGTAGGGGCTTGGGTGGTGTCCAGGAGGAAAATTAATTTTGTTCTATGTGAATTCGGGCTTGCCATCATTCCGGGTGGATTGACCAAAGAATTCCAACCGCTAAATATTGGTGTTAACAGGGCATTTAAAGTTAAATTGCGAGCTGTGTGGGAGCATTGGATGACAGAAGGCGAACACACATTCACCAAGACAGGGAAGCAACGCTGGGCGAGTTATACCACTATCTGCTTATAGACCGTGGATGCCTGGGCTTAGTTATTAGTCTCAAATGTCATCCGAGCGACATGCACCTTATAACCCGGTGCGCCTTATGTATGAAAATAGACCCGTTCATTGATATCACACCTTATAATACGGTGTTCCTTATGGTCCGAAAAATACAAGGTGTGTGTGTGTTTTTATATATATATATATATATACATTTTCTTAAACTTCTGAAATTTCCGAAAATGTAGAATTTTCCGACCTCGGAAGGGTTAAAGAACAGTACCATAAAGTACCGATCGCTGCTGCTGTTTCTGTTTCTTTTTTTGTCGTCACTTTTTTGAGTCCCTGTTACGCCCCGCCCTCCTCCGCTCCGGGCAAAAACCCGAGGAGGGTGCGATACGTTACCGTGGCAACGTTCGAGCAGTGAGAAGAAAAAAATTGCGATCAGATCGGTTCTTCTCTACATATACATATATATAAATACATATACATATATATAAATACAAATATATATATATAACAATACATATACATATATAGTGCAAGTTGGGTACCAAATTACGTGCACAAACTGGTGCATGCACCTGGTAATTTGAGCCCTGTTCACATTTTCCATTACTTTTTCTCACTTGAAAAGTGGGTGGGTTCAAAGAAAAGGTGCTTTGTCCTGAGTTGTTTAACACATCTAGATCGTTTGTCTCATATTCATCTTTTGATCTGAAACCCAAATCTCTTCAGTATACAACAAAAACAAAGGAATTGACGTTGCCGTTCCAATACTTTTGGAGGGGAGTGTATTTATTAGACAGACTGTGGAGTCAGCATGTGCAGTACACATGTAATCAAACAACTACTGTATATTGGCAATATTGCAAGCGAGACAATACTGGGCACGTGCCAACTGCCTGCATCAGTCAGTGTGCATAAGACTGACAAATGAGGGAACACGCATTGCTTTTTGCAAATAAAAGTGGAGGGGGAGTGGGGGAGTGGCCTGTGTGTGAAAGTGAGTGAGGCAGAGCTGAAAGGCTAAATGTGTGTCAGTAGGTGCGAACTTGCGGCCCATGTACAGTATTGTCATAATAACAATAATGTTCTTTCTTCTTCAGAAAGCTCTAACCAGAACTATTTACTTTTGTCACATTTTTATGGGAAAATTGTGAAGACCAATGTATATTTATATATGCAGCGTATATCGTTTTGTTTGGATAAAGAAAAAATCAATCAGATATCAGCAGTAAAATAGATTTTAAAGGGAAAACTGTAAGATGTTGTCCAATGTATGGTAGTAGCAGCATAAATATTTAGACAAGTCAATGACTGAAACCATTCCGGGAGTCTGAGCTGGATAAATACACACAGAAAAATTAAAATCTGATACAGCCAGAGCAGGGAGTTGGTACTAGAGGTGGGGAATCAGCACATTTCTGAGTCACATGCTGTGAATTTTCTCCCTCCTTATACCTGCAGAAAATCCAAAACAACCTGCTATGAAACCACAATCGTGCCTCAAAGTGAATACTCCAGTCTTTCATTTTCACTATTTCCTCTGTGCAGACGTCACATTAAATTTGTCATTCTCAGCACGCTTCTTCTGCACAGACACATCAATTCCTGTTTGAGTGTTTATTTGGATTCTTATTTGGATTAAAGCCTGAAAAAAAGTTAGTAAAGAAAATGTTTTTTTTTCTGTATTCAAATACACTACCATGAGAACAATGACAAGCTGAACTCCTGTACGAAAACAGTAAACACTTACGACTGCACAGCTGATTTTAGTAAAAAAGCAATTACGAATTTTTGGGTTGCTGGATCGGCACGAGTATTTGAATACATAGATAGACACCAGTCTCTATGTTCCTATCCACAATTATGATGATGAACTATGGGTCGTGACCAAAAGAACAAGATTCAAATAAAACGTAACTGAGCATAGCATTAGAGACAGCTTTAACATCCACCAGCAGCTTATATTTATTTCCTAATCCAAGAGCAGCCAGCTAAAGTTGGACAGCCATTTGATTAGAATGGTTCAGGGCACGCTGGAGTGAAAGCATCATCAAGTGTCATGCCAAAGGACACATTGGTACATAGATGGAATTAAACCCATGTCCGTCCTGTCAATTTTCATCATCATCATCATCATCATCATCATCATCATCATCATCATCATCATCATCATCATCATCATCATCATCATCATCATCATCATCATCATCATCATCCCCCCCGTGGTACTAACCTAGTTTACAGTGTCTTGGTCCAGGTCCTACTTTCAGAGCAGTTGCTTTTATACAGTGAGTTTTCACTCAACGTTGACATGTAGCCACAGTGCTACTCTAAAAGCAACTCTACTCTGCCATACAACCCACGTCTGTAGGTACAGTAAAAGTGTTCTGAGTTTGGGAAGAAAAAAATGCTGAAAAATAAAGTTTTAGTGCTACAGTTGTTGAAGGTTCACGAGATGATGTCTCATCACTTGATGAAAAACTAATTGCAAAACGCACCGAGTAGGCAAGCTCGAGAGCCAAGCACAGATGAGGTTATGGTTTAATCAGGTCATCAATCATACGTCAGTAAATGTCCAACAAGCATTTATTCCCATATTTTGACCAAACCCAGTCATTATTTTATTTTTATTGTTTCCAGTATCGGAATAAAAACATTGATATGACAAGTAGTACATTATTATGCTTATATCGGACATCCTTACTAGTAGTATTAAAATAT